GTTTGCTTCATTTCTAGCATGAGGTGAGGCCCTTTCTTTCACTGCCTGGGACTAGGTGACATTGCTTAGGTTTTCATCTGGGTGGCTTTTATCTAGGAGGACTGCACTCCACTCACTGGAGTCAGGCACTAGGTCCACCTTGACAGTGTCCATAGACATTAGAAAGGGTCTGGGAGTGGGCAGACAGGGGGCTCACATTTATCAGGAACCGGGTTACCAAGGGAACCTACACACTAAGAGCCAGAGCTGCTCATATGACAGGTGAGTGAAGATGTGAGAGTAAAGTCAATGAATAGGTGACAGGTGGGGAAACCACCTGTTGCTGAGTGTAGGTTGAGTGGCTGGGTGAGAGAATGAATGAATGAATGAATAAAACTAGGTTATGCCACAGAAATAAACAAATAACAAAGTGTTAGTTCTTGCTCATGCTCCGTGCCATTTGTCCATTTAGGTCCTCTGAGAAACAGGCTCCAGGCTGGATCTAGATATGCCTTTATTAGAAGTACCTATAAAAGATAAAGGGTGGAGGAACAGGAGAGGGTGGGGAGAACCCTCAACCACAACATAGGTCTGAGGCCTGTGAAAGAAGAGAGGGAAGGAAAGATTGGGCAGGAAGAGCCAGACTATGGTGCATTTCTGAGAAACTGTGGACCAAGCTGATGAGAGCACCTAAGCAGAAGTTGGCCATTAGTAGAATCCTACACTGAGCAGGAGTGGCCCAGCTCTAGTATCCCAGTCATGGATACTAGTTATTTGTGGGGAGCAACCCTAGGAAAGTACATGTAGCCGACATAAACATGGTGGGCATAGCTGACAACTGTCAATCAGCTCTCCTCCCACAGGAGGTTCTCTGGAAGTGGATGTGAGTGGGGCACCTCCATGGCTGCTGTGGGTGACTGGGAGCTTGGCTCCATGCATTCCTCACTCTGCAATTCAGGCTCTTCAGAGAAGCCACTGTCTGGAATGTTGCTGGTCATTGTGACAGAGTTAAAAAAAGATAACCTGGAGGGCCTCGCACTGGCAATTTAATTGCTCTACTTCAGAGGGGATGCATGTCAACTCCACTGGTAACCCATTGGCTAGAGCTGATCATCTATCCCAAGGGGTCCAGCAAGTAAGAGTCCTCCATCTGCCTAGAAGGGGGAAAGCCTGAAATATCAGAACATGGTAATGCCTACCATAGTGCACAAAGAAGAAAATGACAGTGTGGGACTGGAAGAAGATATGAGTCAATGCAATGATTGAAAGAAAGGAGAGGAGAATGAAGAGAGAGGCAATCAAGGGGTAAAAGGATAAATGAAGGAGTGAATGAGCAAGTGAATGAATGAATGAATGAATGAATGAATAAATAAAGGAGTAATGAGGGATGAGCGTGACCTGAAGAATGGAGCAAAGAGTGAGTGAGATGTGAATGAATGAGCAGAGGTGAGAATGGATAAGCAAAAGAGAGAGGACGCTGGGCCTCAGTTGCTTTGGAAGGGCCACAAGCAAAGTTTCTCCTGAATGAATGAATGAATGAATAAATAAATAAAGGAGTAATGAGGGATGAGTGTGACCTGAAGAATGGAGCAAAGAGTGAGTGAGATGTGAATGAATGAGCAGAGGTGAGAATGGATAAGCAAAAGAGAGAGGACGCTGGGCCTCAGTTGCTTTGGAAGGGCCACAAGCAAAGTTTCTCCCCTTTTCTTCCCCTTACCACTGCCAATCAGGTGGCATTTGTCCCAAGAATTGTACTGACCAACCCCTGGGTGGTTGCTGCAAAGGCATGCTTTCCAGAAGCCACTGGGGAATTGGGCACAGGGCAGGAAGGAACAACCCATTCTACTCTCTGATAGGAGCACACAGTGTTGAACAGCCTTATAAATAACAGTCTGGGGTGGATGCCATCTGTGCCTGCCTCTTGCAGGGAATGGGATAAAGTCTGCCAGCATTCCGTGATTCCCCTTGGAGGCCCCAGAAATGTCCTTTCCCCACCACTACCTCCAGCACACCCAAAATCCAGTGAGAGTCCTCTTTTGGTTTAAGCCTTACCATGTAAGAAGTCTTTTAAAAGAAGGAAGCCTCTAAACAACCCCATTTGAAGGGCAACTATGTGTAGGGCCAATGGAGTTGCTGGGTGGGAGACCTAGTCTTGGCCCTTGAGGAGGGCTAAGTGAGGACCCGAGATATGTCCACAGAAGAGTTACAAAATGACCTTGGGCAAGCTCCTGCTCTCCTTGGGCCTCAGTAAAAGTGAAGGGGTTCGGACAGATTATATTTTATATAAGAGTGGGTACAGTCTACAGCCATGCCACCCTGAACATGCCCGATCTCATTTGATCTTGGAAGCTAAGTGGTGTCGGGCCTGGTTACTACTTGGATGGGAGACCACCTAGGAAGACCAGGTACCGTAGGTGTAAAAAAAAAGAGTGGGCACAAAATGCTGGGTAATTAACTAATTAGTTAATTGGTTCGATATTTAGAGAGATGCTGAGTTGCATGACCTCATCCTTATGCACAGGAAGCAGCCTTGCTTTTGAGGTTTGGGGCTGGCCTATTTGTGAGCTAAACCAGATTATTGGGTCTAGATTAAAGGACGAGTGAGAATAACTTGGATTTGGTTTGCAGATGCCCTCACTTCAGTTTGCTACTGAAGAGCAAACAAGCAGAGCCAAGGAAGGACAGGGAGCATGCATCTCTAGACATCTTTACTTTGAAGTGTGTTTGAAGTTTAGAACTCAACCAATTCTGCATATAGTGGGAAATCTGACAGGCCAGAAGAGCCCGGAGGTGCAGGTTTACTGCCTTTTCTGTAAATTTTTGGTTGAGATATAATATACTTGCAGAACAGGTCATGAATTGTACGTGTCCTACTTGATGGAATTTCACAAAGAGTGATTTCATCTGTGTAACCAGTACTGTGATCAAGAGACAGGACATGGTCAGCACCCCCAGAGACCTTGGTACTCCTCTGCGCCTGGCTTCTCTCTCTCAATGTTAGCTTGTGACTTGTAGCCGTATTCTTGTGTTCAGTTGTCCTTTGCTCTTTTTCACTGTTGCATAGTGTTCCACTGCACATCAACTGCCTTTTATACCTTAGGCTGGCATTGCAGTCAAAGGTCTCCTGTCACCTATAGGGCAATTTCTTGCTGCCCTGTAGTTATCTCTTTGGCATTCTACCTTCTACTGCATCATGCAGTTGACAGTAGGCTGAGCAGGTAGAGGCAGAGGAAAAAAGGCAGAGGCCAGACCTTGAACTTGACTTACTAAAACCAAGCCAGTCACACCCGTTGGGGGGTGGGGAGTGGAGTGGAGACTTGGGGGGAGAATATGGACCCCCAGGCCTGGAATAAGCTGATTTGGGTTCCATCACCACCACAAAACTGCATGGCTAGGACTTCTTAGAGTGACTATGATTATACAGGGGGAGACGTCACCTGGATGTTAGACTTCTGGTCACCTAGCAAAGGCAGGTATGTGCAGGAGAAGATGAGTAGAGAGGAGGGCCAGGCAGACTCTTGCCTACAGGCACAAGGTACTATGGCCCCAAGTGTACAGATGGCTACAGGGACACCAAGGCTGTCGGATGATTAGAACTTGTGCATGGACGGGATGAGAAGGCAAAGAGAAAGAAATGGAAGGAGTATGGCTAAGGTGCAGCCATCTACAGAAATGGGGGCTCCTGCATGGGGATATCCTGAGAAAGCCCCTCTCCTTTACTGTAGCCCTTCCACGCCAGGCACAGGGCAGACCCACAGGCAGCATTAATGAAAAGAGCTGACAACCCTTCAGATTGGAATTTCTCTGACAGAACCTACAGACAACACAGGGACAATATCCCTTTCACCTGTCCACCTGATGGGGCCTCATGGAGCCTCTAGGTCCTCCAGGCTGTCAGGCAGCTCAGGGTCTGGCTACCACTCTGCAGGGCCTGGGAAAAGAGGCTAAGTTGAATTTATTAGCTCGGTGCAGGTCTCTGGAGAGCAGGTAGGGGGATTATCTGGTGGCTTTGATGCCTCCTGACTTCTCAGGACTACCCTTTTGGGACTGGATCCAAGGAAGTAAGTGATATCATCATTAGATGTGAGGAGTCAGCAGTCTTCCCCCTCCTCCTCTGTGAGTCCAGCCAGGGCAGAAGCGGAGTGTGGAAAGGCAGCAGGCTTCCAGCCTGGTCTCTGGTTTGCTTGGAGAGTGGCCATTGTCATGCCCCATCTCTTCTGGACTGCTTCCCCCTCCATAGAACCAGGTGTGAGTGCCCTTTCCTCTGGAGGCCCTTCCAGGTCTAGCACTTTCCAAGGCAACATACAGGGACCAGAGGGCAGCCTGGCCCTGCCGATGACCCCACAACTGCTCAGGGTTCCCTTTCCTTCCCTGCTGATAGGTGCTGTGGATGGGGCTGTGATGACCATGACTTGTCCTCAGTGAAAAGTGACAGCTAGGAGAAATGTTAACAACCACCTGCCAAGCACAAGTCAAATTGACTAGTGGGAGGCCCTTTTTGAGAGGGTGGGGTGGAAAGGATAAGAGTGAGGGACATGCCAAGGGAGGGGAGAAGCAGAAAGATGTATTTTCTGTGATCATGGTTAAAAACAATAACCACTATTTATTGAGAGCTTGCTTAATCTGCACCAGGCACAGCACTAACAATTTTACATTGCATAGCCTCTCATTTATCTTGTAACATCAAGGGCCTATGACCAATGGGGACAAAGCTTCAGGCCTCAGGGAGTTAGAAAGTGGTGTGAGGTTTCAGTGCAAGGCCCTATAAGAACCTGCTGCTGCTCCTCTCCAGACCCCTCAGAGGTAGAAGGTGAAAGAGAGTGCTCTGTGCTCCCTGGTAGCTCCTGGCAGATGCCCTTCTGTATTCTCATACCTTCAGTCAGTCACATGGAATGTTCCTGAAACTTCACTCATTTTGGTGGCTGAGAATATTGGTTAAAAGCTCAGGTGTGCAAGAAATTCAATTTCCTCAATTTTCCTATAACAATTTAATTTCTATTTCTGGTTCCCATTCCACCCAGGTGATACACACGGGACTCTGTGTATTTGCAGCCCTCTTCTTCCTTGGACATGTGAGTTCTGGAAGCTATTGCAAGTGCTGGAGAGGGTGGAACACCTGGCTTCCTGGACTTGTCTTCCAGGCACTTTGGCCCTCAAGCCTGCCCCCCACGGATGGTGCTGAGATGCTACTATAGAGTCTGCAAGTCCCCTTCAGACTGGCAGTATCCTTGCTCCTTTCTCACTGGTCCTGGGCTCCCACAGAACCAATCTACTTTTTCTGATAACTATTGGTCATTGAAAATTGTGAAGCTACTGAGACTCCACCTGCCTGGAAATAATCTGTAGCACTTATTTTCCAGAACCTTGCCTCTTCCCCAACTCTTTCTGAGCCATGGGCCCCAGGCTTTCCTCTTCTTGATCTGAGGAATCTACCTGGGAGCTATGCTGCCTTCCTTGGGAGGGTGTATAGAGCCCAGAGAGATCCACTGACAACTCAGTTCCCTCACTCTCTATCCCCAGAAACACCCAGACATGGGAGCTGGGAATATCTGCTCTTACTTACTGTCTGTCCTCTGTATCCTGTATCAGAGACTATCAGTCCTTCCTGTTTCCCGATGGCGAAGGCTCTCTGGAGTTCCATACCAGAAAAAGATGTTCAGCTTCTTTGTTCCTGTGGCTTCATCCTCTCTCTTAGGCAGTTAGACAGACCTCCAGGGCCTAGATGAGAAAGCATAGACCTGGAGAAAACTCCGTGTGTAAAGACAGAGGCGGTGGCTTGAAGGAGGGACTGTCCCTGGCCCATGGAGACAGAGTCACAGAACCAGTGTGTTTCCCAGGTCTCCATCCCATGGGGCAGCCCCTCAGGGAGGGTTCAAACATCATGCCACAGAAACTCTGATCTGATCTATTTCAACAGGACTCTAAAGAGAAGGAGCTCCCCAGAAAGTCACCAGGACCTCTGCTACAGGGGTCCAATCAGCTCAGTGCCGACAAATCAGTTTCTAATTCAAGTGAAACTCTAGGGGAGGATATTGAAGACTCAAATGTACATATACCCTGTGGGTCAGCGATAGCAAATCTGCCAGAAGACAGCATTCAGAATCACAACATGCTTTAGGTCATACCCTACCCCCATGCCAGACTTGGGGCTTGTTTTTACCTACAGGGTATCTCAGATTAGGCCTCATGCCAAGCTGGTGCAGACAAAGAAACTGAGGCTCAGAGGGGTGATGTAATTTTTCCAAGATTGCCTACCAAAAATGAGAGAGCAGAATCTCCGGCCCCAAAGCCCTTAGTTTCCCCACCACTCCTCATTGTCTGGGAAGTTTCATGGGGTTATTAAAAACTGCCACCTTCTGGAGAAGTTCAGTGTCCTCACTGTGGAGGATGGAGGGGACACATGGTGCAGTAAATAGGCAGAGGGTGAGCCTGCACCTTTTTTTCTACCTCGGCACCCAATCTAACATATCCCTGAGTCTGCCCTCTGCGTACGTGAGCTGGAATTGCCTATTTATGGCTGCCACTTACCATGCGCAGGACATGGTGTCAGGAAAAAGGCCATTGGACATGAGCCATGGGTTCACTCACATCACCCCAAAGCCCTGCTAGGATAGGGCGGGCTATGCTGCACCGCAGACCTTTATGTGGCTCTTCCTAAAGTGAGGTCCATGACACACCACACAGCACACCTTAGGGCTGTTCGTGATGTTACGGAAACAAAGGCTTCCACAGTCAAAGAGCCTGGGAAAGTCTGACTCCAACAGGGGTAAGCTGTTTCCTCAGGCAGGAGTCTTTAGAGCCTTCAATGTGTGTTGTGCTCTGTCGTTCTCCCGAGGGAGCTGTACAATCTGAAACTCTCTACCTCATTTACTCTTAACAGTCCCTTCCCTCTGCACTATGATAGGCATTGCTTTTCTGCAATAGCCCCTCTTTTGGGAAACAAGGCTCTGCTGCCTGACAGAAAGTATTCCTAGGAAGGACAAGCAGATGAAGGACACAGGGTCTGCAGGGAAGACGGGGTCTCAGGCCCAGAAAGACAGCTTCTGGAAAGGCTGTGTGAGGTCTGGGCTGGGAGGGAGGGTGGGGTCAGGCTTTGCAGGCAGAGACCTGGGTGGAAGAAGGGTCTTGTAGGAAAGCCCGAGCCAGCGTTGAAGTGTGGGGCAGTTAAGGGTAGTGGGTATGAGCAGCACAGGTCCAATTTGGCTGAAGCTGCCTAGCAGCCTTAAAAGGCAGAACTGGCACATCAGGTTGGAAAGGAGGCTAGATCTGTTCTCCTAGCTTAGGTCTGATCACGGCTGAACTCAGGGGCTCAGAGCGGGGGCCTTTATTTAAAGACATCTCATTACCGATCTCCACTTGCCAACTGAGTTTAGAAATGAAGGTGAACACCTGACCAAGTGCCTCTCTGCAAAATTTCAGGTTCTGAGCCTCTTCTTTGTAGAGGGTCATTCCCTCTAAATACTCCTTTCTGATGAGCCAGTGACACCTTTCTATTTTCTCCCATGTTCTAAAGGCCCTAAAGAGCCTCACTTTGCTCACAAGCCAGGAAAGAAGAGGAGGAAGCACATTTTTCGATCCAGGAAAACCTGGATGCATGCAGCTGAGAAAGCAAAACTGTTCATTAAAATCCTTCTGGGATCTTGCCAAGTGGGAGAGAGAGATTTGGGGCCGGAGCCTCGGCAGTGGGAAGGAGCGAAGTGGTAGTGGGTTATTTATAATCCACTTCTGGCACTGTCTGCCATACTCTTTCAGCTCGAGGAAACACTTCCATCCCAGAGACAGACAGCTGATCATTATAATTTTGTGTTTGAGGACACTTTTAGCCTCCTGCAGACACACATAAAATCTGCATCCGCTGCCCAGGATGGAGACCATAAAAGTTCTTTAAAAGGGTCGTAGACTTTCCTGGGATGAATCCAGGCTGTCTACAACTTTGGCACAGGGTCTGGCTCCTGTGCCTCTCTCTGCTCATACAGGCCCTGCTCTCACCTATCTGTCTGCCTACCAGGCAGAATCTACCCCATCCTTGAAGACCTAGCCAGACCTATGTATGAGGGGCCTTTCTTCCCTGATTATCTTAGTACTTTCTCTCTGTGCATTTTCTTTCTTTCTTTCTTTTTTTTTTTTTTTTCACAGTTGATTTAATTCACTTGATGTTATATTGTGCTGTCTTGGTCCCCAGTTGCCTGTTGTATATATAACCATGTATTGAATGGGCTGAACTTGATGGGGTACGAACAGGAAATGGCTTTATATTTCTCCCTTCGATGATTCCAAATGTGCCTGACTGGATCTCCTTCCCCTCCTCTTGGCAGCATCACAGGCATGTTCAGAAGCTTCCCAGTCATTTTCAGGCACAGAACAAATTTTACTCTCAGACATTAAAAAGGTCCAGTCCAGCCCAGTCCATGTGCAGCCTCCCTCTACATCTAGTTCAAAGCTTCTCCCTCCTGACAGCTCAAGCCTGACCATGATGGTGCAGCCTCCCTCTACATCTAGTTCAAAGCTTCTCCTGACAGATCAAGCCTGACCATGATGATGCATGGAGATCTGTAGTGGCCTGGGGATGGGTTGGCAGTTCTGTCTCTCTTCCTTCATGTCCACTGTGATGGGTTGAACTGTGTCCCCTAGAAAAGTCTTAACACTTCCTCCCTCGTAGTGTGACCTTATTTGAAAATAGTCTTTCCAGAGGTAATCTAGTTAAAACGAGGTTACTAGGGTGGACCTTAATCCACTATGACTGGTTTTCTTATAAAAAGGGGAAATTTGGTCACAGAGACAGACGAGCACAGAAGGAAGATGACCTGAAGACACACAGGCCATGTGACTGGAATGATGCAACTACAAGCCAAGCAACAGCCAGGATTGCCAGCCACCATCAGAAGCTAGAAGAGGCAAGGAAGAATTCTCTTCTAGAGCCATGATAGGGCTTGCTGATACCTTGATCTTGGACTTCTAACCTCCGGAAATGTAAAATAATAAATTATTGTTGTTTTAGCCACTCACTCCATCAGAGTTTGTTATTGCAGCTGTCAGAAACTTATAAATCTGCCTTTCTACTTCTGATTTTTCAAGGACCCAGGTGAAATGAGGGGGACAGAGGAGAGGGGCCTTATCTTTTTAGATGACTGGTGCTGCCTGAATGCTCTCTTGCTTTCAAGGCCTCTGTCTAAGCAAAATACCCTAATGTTGGGTATTTTGTGCGATGTAGATGTTCCCCTGCCAGTCCTCTACCACCTCTGAGGTGGTCCCCATCACATAGCTAGAACCTGGTTACCTTCTATGGTCTCCTCTTGGCCCTGGAGAAGCCCACATTCTCTTTCCACAGCAAAAGCAGGCCTGCAGGCTCTGCAGCTGCCCTTGGCCTTACCCTCTCATCCTGAGTTCTCTGGGTAGGACAGGCTCAGACCCTACTCTCACAGAGATGCTCCCCAATGCAAACCTGGGGACATGTGTGATAAACCCTCTCAGATATATCTGTGCCCTGGAGTGGGCTTAGAGTTTCTGTAGTGCAGTTTGACTCCAATTGGGAAATGCAGTAGTGTACCCTCTCTGCAGGCCCCCTAATCTCTACAAGAGGTTCTCTGGATCCCCTGCCGATAACTTGCAGAGCTGTGGGGAGCAGTAAAGTGATACCACTTTACACAACATAAAAATTCCCTCATATGCTCATACAGTTCTTGACTGTAGGTGGGCTCAGGAGGTGAGGAGTAAAGATTGTGTAGACACTTCTCAACAAATCTAGGGGAAGGGATTCTGTCAACTCCCATTTGGGATATGAGAATATTTGCCACCCACTGCCCCTGGCTTTGGGGTTTCTGATGAAAGGCTTCCATTCCCATCCCATTACCTATAAGAACATGTCTGCCCTGAGCACAGGGGCCACACACTCTAGCTTTTTCTAACTTCACTTACATCCACAGGAGAGAGGGAGGCAGTGGGCAGAGTGTCTAGAAGTCCAGGCTCTGGAGCCACATGCACACAAGTTCAAGTCCCTGCTCAGATACTTACTCAGTTGTTGGCTTTAGGTAAGTTACTCAGCCTTTCTGAGCTTCTATTTCCTCGGTTTTCATGTGGAGACAGAAGGTAATGGAGAAAAGGCCTGCCGCAGATGTGGAATCAGGCACAGAGATAAGCAGCCACTGCCTTCGGTGTTTTCAAGTTGGTCCTGATCCTCTAAGAATCATGGTGGAAGTGTAGACCTGAACTTGGTGAGTGCTCTGGACCTTCTCTTTTAGCAAAATGCATGTATGCAAAGTTTGTCATGTATGATTCAGGTTATAAATCTTGGTGCTCAGTGGCTTTTCATTGAATTGTATGGAATTGCTCCAAACTATTTAGTAAAAGAAAGCAAAAAGGCACCACAAAGAAATTGGTGGCCTAGTAAGATCCTTGAGCTATCTGAGATGCCGACTGACTAAACTGGCTTAGCATTTTGAAAAGCTCAGATCTAAATTCCTGGGGAATTTCTGCCTCACACTTCTATCCCGCAATGCATTGGGCCAAATCCAGCCTCACCCAGGACTTTTTAAATTAAAGCACTATTGTGCATTTAGCAGTGTCCTATGGTGCAGTCTCAGTGATTCTTAAAGTTGACTAATATATGCATTTTAAAGGGAAAAAATTGTTACAGACCCCCCCAGTGGTGACTAAATTTATTTTGCTTATATTGTTACTTAAATATATATAAACATAAAAGTAAGTATAAATTCCTTATGCTTTTAGCTCTCACACAGCTATAAAACCAAAACACAATTACAAATTAAATGCAAACAAAACTACAAAACCATTAAAATTCAAATTAATGGCATTAATTTAATGTGACAGATGATGTTTTGCTGAAAGTAAAATAACTAATGTTGGGTTTAATCATAGAAAGATGTGATTCCATTTTAAGTCCAGCTTGTTATCAACTAGATTGTTTTGATGTCTGAGCATGCTGGGACGTCATTAGAGTGATTATCAATGTTATTAGCCTTTTAATCCAGAAATTTTTATCAATATTATTATATTTCATGTGTTATAATGGATAAACTTTTAACTACAGATCTAGGATTTTGATATAGTACTCCAAAATATAATAACTTAAAAATTGTAAAATATGCCATTTAGCAAGACACTTTCCAGTTGTGTACCCTCCTTCTAGTGCTGCCTCGTAAGTCGTTACAAACCAGTGACACTCACTCTGGCACTGCATGCAAAGTGGTGACTGTGATTCTGCCTGCTGCAGCACAGAGCATTTGCATGTGGCCTGCCAGTGTCCCTGAACCGTTGACGACTCAATCTTCCCTTCACTCGTCTCTATTTGAACAATCGCTAAACCTTTGTTTGTACAGCAGCCTACGGAGTCATTTGGCCATCATTTTGCAAAAACGTAATAGTAAACCCAAATGTAAATGCAAGCTCGAATTCTCAAGGCATTATTTTGTGATAAAGTGATCATCACACACAACCCCAATAGGGGCTCACTAAGAATTTTCAATTTCTGAAATGAAAACATCAAATTAAAAAAATCTCATACCATTCAGAAATCCCTGATAGTATATTTGAAATCTCTGGTACATTATAAAGAGCAGTGGTCTGAGACTAGATTTCTATTCTGGGTCATTCATTGACCCACTTTGTTCTGTTGGTCAACTCCTCTCTCTAAACTTCATCTGCTCATCATCATTCATCATTTTGTGTTTTGGTCGTTATCACATAGATTTCACTCGACCACTCCACAAAGTTAAAATGACTCTCCTCGATGGACAGATAGGGGAAACTAAGATCTATGTACACAGCTGTGAGTGAGGAGACCGGGTTAAAAGGCAGGGCTGTCTGACTCCACAGGCACCACATGGCAGCAATTCACAGGGCTGAGTCTGTTCTTGGAGCTCTTCAGTCCTCTGTGGAACCTGTATCTTCGTATCTGTGCCTCCTGTCCTCACCTCTCACCTACACACATACCTGGCAACAGAATACAGTCCTGGAGAAAGTGGAAGGACAGCCTCAATTCACCCTGTCACACACATGATGACCCATATCAGTCCTCTGCTCACTCTGGACAACACCCACCCACCCCTTAAATGACAGGGGATATTTTCTTAAGTAAAAATTGGACATGGATCTTGATAACTGAATTTTCATTATGGGTGAATTCATGTTTATTTATTTTTTTATGAAAAGACAGATTTAAATCTATAACTCGAATCATATTTTATACATACATGCATATATGAGTAAGTACATATATGTACACACTTGTGTGTATGTACTTATGTGCATATGTACACCAATATACATATATATATGTATGTATATTGGGCTGGATATATATATATATATATTTATGCATATATTTGGGTGTATATATATTTTTGTATATATATTTCTCTAGATGAAAGAGAATGAAATTTCCTGGGATTGGAAAGTGCTAGCAAAACAGAATTTGTGGTTGTCTTTTACAGTTAAGGCATAGGTCATTAGGGAAGGGTCTTCAGAGAGCAGCTGTCTTTCTGGGCCCTTGACTGTTGACCTCTTTAATTCTTGGTGCCAGGGAGGCCATAGCTGGGGTCCCTCCCTTTGGAAGCAATAAAGATTCCTCATCTTATCTCAGAAGCCTCTGCAGACACTATCACTCTTGATATCCTCCCTCTTCCAGACTCTGTGTGTGTGTGTGTGTGTGTGTGTGTGTGTGTGTGTGTGACAAATAGAGTGATGACCAGGGCACTCTGGGATTTCTGTTCCAGTGGAAATTCCAGTTCAGCCCTGGTGAACCATGCTCTTGGATTTGTTCTATTCAAATGCAAGGAAGCAATCTTTAGGGAGGACCCCTTTTAACAACAATCCCTCCTACCCATGAATCTTGCATTTTAAAAGATTATTTCTTCTAGAGAGAGTTTACATGATAATGAACTCATTCTTTTATTATTATGAAACAAAGACATTTATACTTGACTGTCAGAGAGTCTAATTGGCATGTGGCTCATGCTTATGAGACCAGCAGAGTTGGTCTTTTGACATTTTAGTTATTTTTGCAGCCTTGCTCAGTGCATATGTATGATGATCATTAAGCTATTTGAAATAGTGATATTCCTGCATTTGTCATAAAATATATTAGTGTCCACCAGTCCAACACTGTGTCCCAGGAGAACTCTGGAACAAGTAGGTGAATCAAGGGCAGCTGTGCTTGTTTAAGTGCAAGAAAACTCTGCTAGTTGCTGAGGCTACAAGGGGGAGCATATCTTTGCTCTTGAGGGGTTCCTGATCTAGGAATCAAGCTAGTTATTTGGTCCTGTAGCCTATCGGATGTTTTCATTAAAAACAAACAAACAAAAAACCTGACTGCTATGTATAGAGAGTGAATGGGAGGCAAAGACTAAACAGAAACCCTAAGGTGATACTCTAAGGATGCTGTCGTGTTCCTGGGGACTCTGTGTCACACCTCATCTGATTTCCAAAGCCCAGAGTATGTGGCCTGCCCATGGCGGCCAGGGTTTGCATCAATTGTGCCTCAGGCAGAGTAACAGGGACCATAAATCACTGAGTATGGGGTCTCCAGGGGCCTGGATTTTTGACCAGCAGCCTGCCTCACTCAGCTCCTGACCTGACCCCAGCTCCCTTGCTATTTGTGTTTTATATGTTTGTGTTCACCTTTGCTCTGGAGCTGGCCATGGTTACCTGAATCCCAGTTTCCTGCCCTGATCTTTGCTGAAGCACCTTGATCTCTACTTCCCCCAGCAGTTCTCCCATAAGCAGTCTCTGGCCCAGGGTAGATGTTTAGTGAATATTTGTATGTACATACTCACTGAGGCTTCCCTGGCCCAGCTGCTCATCGATCCTAGGAAAGGCATGGAGTAGCAGAGGACATGTGGCCCTTCGGTCTCAGTGGAAGACCTACTCTGTGGACTGTTGGGCTGGAGAAAGTCACCCTTTGTCCAGTGAGTGTTTCTCCTCCAGCAGGATGGGTGTGCTCATG